CTTCAGCAATGTAAAGCAACACCAGTGCCTCAGCAGCCAGTATATCAACTTTATGTAACCGTGTGATTCAAAGGGAAAACAGAACTCGGTAATGCTTTGAGCAAACACAGGCACGGTGGTTATTTTTGTAGCAGATGAAGAAAGGACAGGGCAGAGAGGACACTCAGCACATCCATGACTGAGAAGATACAAAGTAATAGCAGCTTCCTATAGGAATGACAACAGAGATGAGAAGAGGAGAACCGCTGGGATGTCACCAGGGAGGGCTACTGGAACGGCTGCAATAGAAACACAGAAAAGAGGGAACTACAAAGTTGAGAACTATCAGTCATCTTGGAGATCACGTGAAAGCTTGCAGGTGAGGCTACAGTGGAAAGTTTACTTACACTGAAGACCTTTCCAGAAGGTTAGCAATCCTGGGCAAAACTCAGTTCTGCCAGACAAAACCTTCTTAGGCTGGGCTGAAACTGGAGAATGATTTCCTTTGGCTGCTCTTCATCACAGACCTCACCAGTTTCTGCATCAAACGCCAGACTTATTTCTTATACTTTGCCTTCTTTGACATAAAAGATGACATACACCTACATGTATTTTTAAATTAAATAAAAACTGTGCCAAAGCAAACAGAAGACCCTCTCCTGAACATGCTTATGTCAACTATGAGAAAACAATCAACCAACCACAGCCATGTTAAGTACTGACACTGCGGGGAAACATTCAAGATACACACGCTGCAGTCACCGTGCTATGTAGAGAGCAGAACTAGATTTAAGCAAAATTGTGCAGGTGCTGGTAATAATCCAGCTGTATTAGTACGAACTGCAACATAACCAGCATGTCCTACTGAAGAACGGTGATGGCCGCATACGAATTTACACGGTGCAAGAACTAACACAGGACAGAAACACCGTGTCTCGGTATTTATGTAACAGCACAATATGACTGCCCTGTTTTTTAAACATGTTTGGGTTGCTTCATAGGAGGAACAGCAAACATACATACAAACACCCCAGTTTAAATGATAATGCTCCCAAAACTCTCCACTGGACTTTATCCTTTCCATTTTCCAGACTGCAGTGGCACAAAGGCAGAGCAGAGCAGCAGAACTTCCAGATCAGTGTCTGAGAAGTCTCCCTCCTCAGCGGTCTTGTGATTTGAGATGCACACAGAACAGAGCACTTTCGAAGCGAGTCTTTAATATTTTAAGAGAGAATGCTTTATTCACAGAATTTGCAATAACTCCTCTCGAACTATATGCAAAAATAAACCCCGAAATTCTAATGAAGATACAGAGGAAAAAAAAAATAAAAAGCAGCACAGCAGTGTTCCAAGAGAATACATAATTCACAAGTTTAAAATTCAAGCACTCCCTTCCTATGCCTGGAGCTCTTGTAAAATATTAACAATCAAATCTCTTCGGTAAGTGTACGGCGTATACTTTATTCTGAACCAATGCCTTGGGAAAAGGTTACCACTCGGGGCATATATTTTCGTCCCTTGTTTGCCCATCAGACCACGAAGAATCCTGTTGCGGGACAAGATTTTATCATAAAACTCAACGCCACCTCTGGCGTAGTCTTTGGAAACAGTAGCTGCCTTTCTGTCAGCCTTGCAGTCGAGGTGATAGGTCACAGCGTCGTAAGAAACGTAATAGCACATCAGTCCAGCAGCGGCGGTTACGAGGTTACAGATGCTTCGAAGTATTATGGGGCCAGGAGATAAGCCCAGAAGTAGCTTTATACCTCTCCCACAGAGAAATGTAGCAGCTAAGCAAGCTGGAGCCACAGCTGCGTTCGCTAAAGGGCTGCCGCCCTGCAAATACACAATTTCTCTGGCAATGGCGAACTTCTGAGCTTCAAGTGAAAACGTCAGAGCTTCCCTCAAAGCAACACCTTCGCTGCTCTCCCAGTCTACTTCCTTGCCATTGATCACAACAACATGGTTGACTATTCCTTTTTTATCCTCAGCTGTGCTATCAAAATTAGGCGGGATGCCCACCACAGCGCCTGCAGGCAGCCAGGGGATCCCAGCACTCACAGGGTGGAAGCCAGAAGCTGCAAAGGCTTTATAGGAGTCAGGGGACTTCACATCATTATCTTGAAGGACATCCTGAAAGACGCTACAAAGCCTCTGTGAAAGCTCAGCTGGCTGCCCCTCTGACCAGCACTCGTGCAACATTCTGAACGTCTCAGGAAACACATGATAGGAAAGGTTAGCACCAAACAGTCCCATGCAAGAGAAGGCCAACAAAGTGATCTTGTGCTTCTTTACCCACACAGATGCCTTCTGCAGGAACCGCACTGCCATAGTTAAAGCCTAACCTGTTTACAACACAAAATCTGGAATTAAAGTGTGCATAAATGGGTCTCTCATCTCTGTAGCATTTAAAAAAAAACAACAACAACAAACCAAAAACATAAGAAGAAGCAGAGCACAATAACCAAACAAACATTCCTTTACATTAATGAAACAACAAAACACCTTTACAGAGAAAGTGATACTCATAAATTTGTGGGCCTTGGAACACAGAATGATTGATATGAAGAATTAACTTCTCCCTCTCCTCCAGTAAATCAATTTACCACAATAAAGACCATAATAAAACCACCAAACTTCCTCCTTCCCTCAGCAATCAATACACATTCTGTATTTACCCAATATATTTGTCTAGTCCTCACCAGCTTGTGCTTGCCAGCACACTCCAAATGTTGCACTCCACTACAGACATAGACTATAGATATTAAGGCCAGGAAGAGCCAATAAGTCAATATCTATGCTAACTTCTACAGTACAGATCCAAAAATTTTAATTAGTAACCCCAATACTAAATTCAGTAACTTGAGCTTGACTACAACTTTTAAAACATGATCACATTTTGACTGAAAAATTTCAGACAGTTTTCCTTTAGAGTTTGTTCTAATGGATAGTCTACCTCACTACTACAAAAACCCAAACCAAACCAGTATGTATGTGTTATAATTTCTAGCTTTTTTCAGATTTCAACTTCCAGGCAGTGATTCTAGCTTACTCAGCAAAATGCTATTTCAGAAAGTAGCATGCTTTCAGTGGCTGCTTTTAAAAACTGGTCTCTGAAGTTATTACTCTGACAAAATAATACATGCAATCCAGAGCAGAAACTGGAACAGAAATTGTTTCAGGGCAGACAACTATGCTGTGACTCTTTAAATAAGCAGATAAAACTTTAAAACTTTCAAACCTGCCAACTCCTTCAGTTCAAGAGTCCTGCTTCCCTTGGGGAATATCAGTTCCTTTTATGGTCCAAGCCATATGAAGTGCTCTGCCCAGGAAAGCTCCAATCTCTTAAAAAAATCCCCACTGGCTACAGAATTCTCCCCTAAAAAGACACTACTATAAAGCTATAAAAGTGAATGAGGCACCTAAATCCAACAGACAAGAGTGAAAATTGGATGCCTCTGTTTCCATTTGCATCTTGCAATGCCACCTCTCTCAGGGCCTTAACACACAAGCTTCAGCAAATCTTGCTGCAGCTGTTGAAACCATGAGTATTTCCAGCTGTCCTCACAGGAAGCCGAGGTGGCAAAAGGAAACCGTGCTTTGATACAACAACCAAGGTCTTAGTGTAGAGCACCATCAAAGGTGGGTTTCATCTATGCTGTTGGGCTTCGTACAGCAGCAGCTGCCACACAGACACATGCTCTCCTCTTCCACTCACGCCGAACAAGAACCTCCCGCAGAGGGGTGGAGTGGACAAGTGGGGGCTGTAACATCATAAAGCAGCACTGCATGATGTGCCAGGAGACACCAGTCTTCATCAACAGCAAATGAGTATTAACCACAGGGAAACAAAAAGGGATTAAATTAAAGGCGGTGTATTAATGATATGTTGTTACTACTCCTTCCTATGAAGCTCTTTCAGACTGTAAATTCACCAGGAGAAGAATAATCTTGTTTAATGTTTATACTGCACTGAACACATACTGAGTGCTTAATAAAAACAATGATGCATGTAAGGATACAATAATTTAATATGCATTTCTTAGTGTAATAAGAGGTGGTATTCTTATTTTTTTTGAAGACTGGAGGTGGTGATTTGTTTGACAAAATTGTTTAAGAAAAACACGCTAAAGAGCCAAGAGCTTGGATGAATCCCAATTTCAGGAGAAAAATCTCCTTGATAATAGAGCTAAGACCCAAAAAATGGTAATATTAAACCCAAATGACCTCTTTGGAGTTAACAACCTCTTGGCAAATCTGGTAGTCGGGATCTGATTGTAAGGTCATGCCACTGACAGTGGGGAGGGGGCAGCACTTGAAAGGGGATGATTATATAGAGACTATCACTTGATCCACACGTCAGGCTAAGCCAAGGACTTCCCAAGTTTCTCCCGCTCATGTTAGAAAGAGCTCTCGCATTTGGGCTGATTAAAAAATCTTTTTAAGATTAGGAACACTGCAAGGAGAAAATTCCCCCCTCAGCTTATGTCCACACCAGTGTGGGGAAGGCCAGCCCATGCTGCAAACCAGTCTATTTCCTTCCTTGCATGACCAGATGGTGCTTGCCAACCACACAGGATGCTGAGTACTCCTCTACATCAACAATTTGGGATGCCGGGAAGCACACCTGGACAGGCAGGGAGCTGGCAGCCCACGGGGTGCTGGGTGAACCACAGGAAAGCAGGGCAGGACGTGCTGTGCTTATCTATACACTCCTAAACAGCCATAATGGCAGAATACACCTCAATGCATTAACAGTAACTTTTTTCCTGCTTCAATCGTGAAAACGGTAAGAGTTGCTAAGTATTTTTATTTTTATTATTAAATTACGCTTTGTGCAAGCATGGCTTCAAACCCTTGTGGACAGACCCTGCTATATTCAATACAGCACCTGTTATATTCTTGACTAGATTATGCCCAACAGTCCTGCTGTACAACTAACACAAGAATAAAGTGGCAGGTGGGTTGGATTTGATGATCTTTGAGATCCCTTCCAACCCAAACCATTCTGTGACTCTATGCAATACTATCAGAGTATTCACTTTCTCATGACAGTCAATACTCACAAAAATAAAAGGAAAATTGCTCTTGATACCTTTTAGCACTTGTGCTTTCAAATCTTTCCTGAGGGTCAGCACAGACTCTAAGCTCCTGCAGAAAGTCCCACTGCAGTCCTAACTGCATGTGGCATCTTTGCCTTTATTCATAAACTTTGGACAATTTACTTACAAGGAAGGCAACTGGAAGCTACAAGGCAATTTAGAAGGGCCATATCCTAAGAGCTTAATTGTTTATTTAGGTCCCCTAAAGCTACAACATTTACAAGGTGGTCCTCCCCAAATGCTGAAATACTGTTTATCTCTGTGGTGCTAGGGTCACTCATTATCACTTAAGTCTGAGAATTTTAATCGCTAAAGTTCAAAAAGGAAGATATTTAGGCAGGTTTTGCCCTAACATCTGAATAAATTTATTTTTTCTAACTACAGGTAGCCGAAGGGAAAGCCCAATTTAGAACAGTATCAATCGGGAAACGGGGCGAGAGCTGGGCCCACCTCCAGGTCTCAGCATTTCAAGGCTCACTTGCGAAAAATAAAAATATAAAAGGGGGGGGAGCGGCTAAACAGGGCTCTACACGAGGGGTGGACGAGGCTCCGACCGGCGCCGGGACTAGGCCGCGGGGTAGCACTGCCCGTC